AAAAACACTATTGTTGGTTCTGAGTTTATTTTTCGATGATAATGTTAATGGAGATTCTGTTGAAGGACCTGTGGGAAAAGTAAGCATTGTGTACCTATTTCTTGTACAAATATTGCAAAGTTAAAACATTGATCGAAAACAAAAACATAGAAAAAAAATATGTTAACAAAATGGAGTTGCAATTTAAGGTTTTTAACATGCAATTAAGTAGTTGTATAATATACGTTTTTCACTATTTTTTAGCAAATATGATATGTATAATAAGGTTATAAATTAGAGAGTAGTGGAAAGTGGAAACAAAATTTACAGTATTAAACAATTAATTAAGAAAATCCCATTTTATGATAGAAAATTAGAAAGATAATCAAAACCCAATCCAGTGAAAAAAGAAAGATATTTAAAAAAAGCCCAACAATTATGTGAGGTGGGCTTAATTGGACCGACGCTTTTTACCAAAATTACAAATCGCCCCTCCTTAAGAGCACAAGAGAGAAACTCAAAAGAGGAAGATCAAACACTGAAGAAAGAAAACAAAATTTGAGCCGAGAGCAAAAAAAGAATCCGATAGTTAACAAAACCCTAATTTCCTACGAATCGATGGAGCGAGACGACGAAGCGAGTGGGCCGATGATGGAGGAGATGTACACTAACGGCGGCGAAGAGACGTCTAATCGGAGACCTATTATAAGCGGCGAACCTCTAGACATCGAGGCTTACGCGGCGCTTTACAAAGGTCGTACGAAGATTATGCGTCTTCTCTTCATCGCTAGCCACTGTGGAGGTAACCAGACGATTCAGCTTGAAGCTTTGAGGATGGCTTACGATGAGATCAAAAAGGGAGAGAATACTCAGTTGCTTAAAGATGTGGTCCATAAGATTAACGGCAGGCTTGGCGATAAGTATGGGATGGATTCGGCTTGGTGCGAAACCGTCGAGCGTCGTGCTGAACAGAAGAAAGGAAAACTGGAGAACGAGCTCAGTTCGTATCGGGTAATTTGGGGGTTTTTCTAAGCGATTCATGACCTAATTTCCTTTTAATCGTTCACGGTTATCTGTGTATAATGATGATTCTCTAGTGCTGTTTCTCAATTAGTTGGTTAGAGAATGAAGTTTGTGGTGTTGTTTGCGTGTTGCTTAGTGTGTGTGCATAGCTCTTTACTGGTAAATCTCTTGATTGATTCTGTAATTGCATAGATGTTGATTCGTGTTCTTATTATGAGTATGCAGACGAATCTGATCAAGGAGAGTATCAGAATGGGTTATAATGATTTTGGGGACTTCTACTATGCTTGTGGTTTACTCGGAGATGCTTTCAAGAATTATGTCCGAACACGAGACTACTGCACAACGGCAAAGCACATCATTCACATGTGTATGAATGCGATTCTTGTCAGCATTGAGATGGGTCAGTTTACTCATGTTACAAGCTATGTGAACAAAGCAGAGCAGAATCCAGAAACCCTCGACCCTGTTGTAGCTGCAAAACTGCGATGTGCTTCTGGATTGGCTCATTTGGAGCTTAAGAAGTATAAGCTCGCTGCTCGTAAGGTCCGTCATATTCTAATGCCTACGTGTTTATAGATCCTCATATCCTATCCGGCATTGTATCTGAAATCTAATTGTTGCACTTGAATATCATCTTGTGCAGTTTTTGGAAGTTAATCCAGAGCTTGGAAATTCCTACAATGAAGTCATTGCTCCTCAAGACGTCGCTACTTATGGGGGACTCTGTGCACTTGCGAGTTTTGATCGATCCGAATTGAAGGCATTTATCCTTTCTTTAGCTTTTTATCTTTCTTTGCCAGTTTATTTTCTTCCTTGGTCTATAACTTGGTAGTTAAATGTCGGCAGCAAAAAGTCATTGACAATATAAACTTCCGGAATTTCTTGGAGCTAGTACCTGAAGTGAGGGAACTTATCAACGATTTCTATTCAAGGTAACCTGTTTCTTAGAAGAATCTTTACTATCTCCTGAATAGTTCCATAATATAAATTCGAACCAAGGGATTATTAGAGAGAATCTGCACTAAGCAGACTTCTACCCAATTAAATTTGGTTAATCAATAAATCTATCGAATCCACTATTTATTCTAATCATTCACTCTGACCAGCTCACTGACTTAGCTGTTAGTTACGTTGAACTCTATTCTATATTGCTTGAAGGCTTACCATGCTTTCCTCCAGATTATTATATATGTCGATAGGCTATCCAAAATCAACCTTTTTCGTCTGTATTGGCGCAGAATCTAATGTTTAAACTTTGCTTCTTGCAGCCGCTATGCTTCCTGTCTCGAATATCTAGGAAGCCTCAAAGCAAATTTGCTCCTGGACATTCATCTTCATGATCATGTCGACTCACTGTATGATCAGATAAGGAAGAAGGCATTGATTCAGTACACACTGCCATTTGTGTCTGTTGATTTGAGCAGGATGGCTGATGCATTCAAGACAAGCGTCTCTGGTCTAGAGAGAGAACTCGAAGCCTTGATCACAGACAACCAGATACAGGTCCGTTCTTTTTGCAGGTTTTGTTTTTGTTTTATTACTTATGTCATTTCAAAACCTTTAGATAAACCCCCTTTTTTTCATCTCAAACAGGCACGTATTGATTCACACAACAAAATCCTCTACGCAAGACACGCGGATCAGAGGAATGCAACTTTTCAAAAGGTACTTCACATGGGAAACGAATTCGATAGAGACGTCAGGGGAATGATGTTAAGAGCCAACCTCCTTAAACACGAGTATCATGCACGAGCTTCCAGAAAGCTTTGAGATTGATGACATCTGCTTCGCTAATCTTGAGAGATAACGGCCTATTACAAGATCATAGAGATGCCTATGAAATATTGATTTTGGTTTTAGTTATTGGTTAGATCTCTGTCGAATCAATTCTGTTCTCTTGTTCTTGCTTTGTTTTCTTAACTTTTTTAGTTTAAGCTTTCTTTGAAGTATCTTTTGGATTTTGAATCGAATCCTGAGTGTGAATCACATTAAAAGTGAAAATGGTCAAAGAGTTGTTCTCTTAACTTTTCAGTTTAAGGTTCTTTTGAAGTAAATCATCTTTGGACTTTGAATCAAAATCTTAAGTGTGAAACTATAAACGCAAGAAACCACATTGAAAGTGAAAATGGTCAAAAAGTAGATAAGTACACACTTGGTTTCATGGGGGGGGGGGATGGGATCAAATCTTATCTCCCAACTAATACCTATTTCATTTTGTCAACTAAAACTTTGTGTATATTATACGATAGTTTGTGCACAGATGTCACTCTGTAATTCAAAGAGTCTTTTAATTTAACAGAAAAAAAAAGTGGTAAGGTCCAATTTTTTTATAAGTACAATCTCGAAAATTGTAAAACCAAGATTTGATGTCGGCAAAACGCATCATGTTGGCTAAGTGTGAACTTTTGATTTTCTCATGTCGAAAGAACTTTTGATATTAAAAACTCGATAGCAACGTTTCATTATTGTTAGCTGATTTTATAAAATTTTATCATTGAATGAGATAAATCATTAATAATTTGGTCATGGCTTGTGGGTACCAAATTTATTTATCTGTAATAATCTTATTGGTAGAATTTCTCTCATCTAATAGTATCATTATCAAAAGTAACTGTTCGCTAGACATTTCTCTAAGAGAGAGATTTATTCTCTTTGTGCTTATTTATTTTGTGTTTTTTTATTTTGTGGCAGAATAATCAAGGGTGTTTCTTAAGATTCGAACAAAACAAGAAATTGGGTAAATTACTTTATGTAAAAGCCTATTGATTTTCTATGAGTCGATGACATTTTGAGTAAGTAAAGGTATTATTCTAAGATGAGATGATCCATTATTATTCAACTATTTCAATGGG